TTAATTTTTCTGTCTTCACTGATACAGATTCGGCCTCATGCAAGACATGTGGACACCCTTCATCCTGGGTAAGATGCTCATTTTGGGTTGTTAACATTCATTTGCCCCTCAGCTATTCTTTCTGATTGACGTATAACTTCTTCAGATGCAGCTGTTGGATATTTCTTTATTGTTTGTTGTCCCATTGCAAACAAAAAGGCCTCACTGGTATGTAACTGCACTGCCTAAAGCTGCCTAGGAAATGTTTGGTCAATATTTGTTGAATGCCTGGATCAGAACAGCACTTCGAGAGAACAAGGCCCACTTGACCTGTCCCCTCCCCTGCTCCTACGCCAGGGAGGCCAAGGGCAAGTCTTCCCCAGTAAGAACCCACCACGTAGGCTGAGACCCGGCTGGCCCAGGGTCCTGGGAAGCGGAGTCTGATGTGAGGGCACCTGGAAGAAAGATCAGAGACTATCTGGGACAAAAGTCTGAGGCGGTGGCTTGGAAGTCTCGGTTGACAGAGCAGGTGTCCAGGAGAACAGGTTGGACCAGTTTTGTCTCCTCTGGAGAGGGAGGAGTTCAGGCAGCAGCTGCTGCTGCAGGTGCTCCCCAACCCCCAAAGCTCCCAGCAAGTGACCCCCGTCCCCCACCCCGCAGTTTGTGAGGCCTGTAGGGTGGTAATCCGGGAGCCTGGCGGGGTGGGGGGAACCTCTGTTTGCTCAGGGTACCTGGTGTAGACTCTGGCACGGAACTCTTCAGAGTGCAGGCCGAGGCACAGCTGCATGGCCCAGGGCCCTTCGTGGAATCCTGGAGAATCCCAGAGAGGGCCTGGGTCCTGTCCGAGGTCTCGCGGTCTCATGGTGGGAAGGCGGGCCTCCCGGGTCACTGCCACCTCACTTCCATCACTTCTGGTTTAACAAATACGTGTGGAGCACCTACTGTGCCAGGCAGAGTTGACAATGCATTGGGTGCAAAATGGTGATCTCGGAGGTCCCATGGTGGGGAGGAAGCAGAAGATAAACCACGAGCAAGGTCAGCAAGTGAGTTAGGAGTGCATTAGACGCTGGTGAGCAGTGTAGGAGCAAAAGAGAAAGAAAGGAGGAGAGGGCTGGGGCATGCAGGGGCCCTGCTGTGTCTGAGAGGCTGCAAAGAGGCCTGTGTGGTGAGGCATGGCCAGGGAGGAGAGCAGGGGAGCAGGGGCTCAGGACACAGCCAGCTGGGACCCTGAGAGGACTCTGCTTCTACTCTGGGGGACTCAGAGCCGTTGGAGGGTTGTGAGCAGTGTGGTGAGTGCATCTGATGGGGATTTTTTTTTTTTCAGTGTTTATTTATTTGAAAGTCAGAGTGACAGGAAGAGAGAGAGAGAGAGAGACAGAGAGAGAGCTTCTATCTGCTGGTTCATTCCTCAAATGCCTACAACAGCTGGGACAGGGCCAGGCCAAAGCCAGGAGCCTGGAATTCAATCCATGTGTCCCGTGCGGGTGGCAGAGAACCAAGGACTTGAGCCGTCACTGCTGCCTCCCAAGGTGCGCATTGGCAGGAAGCTGGATTGGAAGTGGAGTGGCTGGGACTCCAGCTGATACTATAATATGGGATGCTGGTATCACACGCACTGCGCTATAACACCTGCATCGGTGACACACGTTTGTGAAAGGAGCCCTCCAGTCGCCTGGCAGAAAAGAAGCTGGGGGTGCAGGGGGAGGGGCAGGTAAGGATGGTGACAGGGAGGCCACAGGCTGGGTTCCTATGGCCACCGTAAGAAACTGCCATGAACTTAGTGGCTTAAAACCACCCACATGTGTCGTGCTGCCGCTGTGATTCTCACCTGACCAAAATTAAGAGCTCAGCAGGACCGCGCTCCTCTTGGAAGCTCAGGGAAGAATCTGTTCCCTGGGCCGTTTCCAGCTCCAGGAGCCCCCTGCCTGCCTTGGCTCACGGCTCCTTTCTCCGTCTTCAGAGCTGGAAGGGCAGCATCTTGCGGTCTCTGATTCTGACCCTCCCACTTCCTTCTTGTGATTACACTGGGCCCAGCCAGGTAAATCCGGGATAGTCTTCCCTCGCTTGCACAGTCCTGTGAAGTACCTTTTCCACTTCAGGTGACATCTAGAGGGAGTAGGACCTTTGGGGGGCCATTATTCTGCCTGCCCTGGGAGCTACTGCAATCATCCAGGTGAAGGATGATGGGGACTCGGGTCAGAGTGACAGCAGTGAGGATGATGAAAAATGGTGGGGTTTGGGATACTGGGCGCTGTTGGGATACTGGGATAATCCAAGGGACTGGATGTAGACTTTGCTTTCCTCGAAGGGGGAGACTTCTGGTCTAACTCTGGGTTAGGAGGTGGTTTTGGGGTGAGGTCCAGGAAGTTGTAAGTCATTTTCTGCAGCCTGTGCCCTGCAGGGCTCAATGCCTGCTGCACGTCTGCAGGAGCTCAGATGTGTGGGTGAATAGTAGGCCTTGTAACCCTCCATTAACTCCAGTGCAAGGGCCTCTCCAATCCACATCGCCCCTCTACTCCCAGCTCATCTCTCTCATCCTCACCGGGCTGGCTGTGTCCCACCCCATTGCTCATTTTCCACTTCTCCCCAGGGAGGTCACGCCCGCTCCCATGCCCACTGCACTTTATTTCTTTATGTTTATGTGCATGTGTGTGTCTCTCTCTGTCCATTCATTCATTTGCATGTAGGCAAAATAGCGTAGTGCTTAAACTGGTTGGCTTTAAAATGAAATTCCTTGGGGCCGGCACTATGGCATAGCAGGTAAAGCTGCTGCCTGCAGTGCTGGCAGCCATATGGGCATTGTTTCAAGTCCTAGCTGCTCCTCTTCTAATCCAGCTCACTGCTTACATGCCTGGGAAAGCAGCAGAAGCTGGCCCGAGTGTTTGGACCCCTTCTTCCCATGTGGGAGACCTGGAAGAAGCTCCTGGACCAGTCTGGATGTTGTGGTCATTTGGGGGAGGTCTTCCATCTAATGGTTCGCTCCCCAGTTGGCCACAATGGCCGGAACTGTGCTGATCCAAAGCCAGGAGCCAGGAGCTTCTTCCAGGTCTTCCACGCAGGTGCAGGGGCCCAAGGACTTAGGCCATCTTTTACTGCTATTCCAGGCCATAGCAGAGAGCTGAATGGAAAGTGGAGTAGCCGGGTCTCAAACTGGCACCCATGTGGGATGCCGGCACTTCAGTCCAGGGCGTTAACCTGCTGTGCCACAGCGCCGGCCCTATCTGACTTTTTTTTTTTCTTTTTTTTAAGATTTTATTTGGGCCAGCACCATGGCTCAATAGGCTAATCCTCCACCTGCGGCGCCGGCACCCTGGGTTCTAGTCTCAGTCAGGGCACCAGATTCTGTCCTGGTGGCCCCTCTTCCAGGCCAGCTCTCTGCTGTGGCCTGGGAGTGCAGTGGAGGATGGCCCAAGTGCTTGGGCCCTGCACCCCATGGGAGACCAGGAGAAGCACCTGGCTCCTGCCTTCGGATCAGCGCAGTGCGCCGGCCGCAGCACGCTGGCTGCGGCAGCCATTGGAGGGTGAACCGACGGCAAAGGAAGACCTTTCTCTCTGTCTCTCTCACTGTCCACTCTGCCTGTAAAAAAAAAAAAAAAAAAAAAAGATTTTATTATTTTATTTGGGAGGTAGAGTTACAGACAGAGAGAGAGGAGACAGGTCTTAAATCCACTGGTTCACTCCCCAGATCACTGCAATAGCCAGAGCTAAGCTGATCTGAAGCCAGGAGCCAGGAGCTTCTTCTGGGTCTCCCAAGCGGGTGCAGGGGTCCAAGGGCTTGGGACATCTTCCACTGCTTTCCCAGGCCATAGCAGAGAGCTGGGTTGGAAGTGGATCAGCTGGGATACAAACTGGAGCCCATATGGGATGCTGGCACTGCAGGCGGAGGCTTAGCCTACTGCACCACAGCACTGGCCCTCTGTAATTTTAACTTTCAAATAAATATATAAATCTTTTTTTAAAAAATCTTTTAAAGAAAATAAAAAAGAATCCCAGTTCTGCCCCCTGCAAGCTGTGTGACTCTGGGCAAACTGTTCAACCTCTCTGTTTCTCTAGTTTCTACCCATGTAGTTGTGTGAGCCAATACACACGATGAGGACATGGGGGCAGAGTGGTCCCTGTAACCCAGCATTGGCTCAAGTGCAGAGCCCCCTCCAACCTACAATCTGTCCCCTGGTCTCTACTCTCAGGTTCTGCGTGAGGTACTGCATGTAAAATGCTCAGCTCAACAGTGACATAGCAGAAAGTGCTCCAAAAATATTTTAATTTTTAAAAAAGATTTTATTTGTTTATTTGAGAGGTAGAGTTACAGACAGTGAAAGGGAGAGTCAGAGAAAAAGGTCTGCCATCCGCTGGTTCACTCCCTAAATGGTCGCAATGGCCACAGCTGAGCTGATCTGAAGCCAGGAGTCAGGAGCTTCTTCCAGGTCTCCCATGCGGGTGCAGGGGCTCAAGTACCTGGGCCATCTTCCACTGCTTTCCCAGGCCACAGCAGAGAGCTGGATCGGAAGAGGAGCAGCCAGGACTAGAACCAGGATTCTGGGATGCTGGTGCTGCAGGCTGAGGATTAACCTGCTGCGCCACAGCACCCACCCCCGGTTTTGTTTTTAACAATTACACCTTACTCACTGTTTTGTGTTGGGATCACATGAAACAGCCAAAGTTTTGTTCGTAAGGCGCAAAGCCATGTAAATACTGCAAAGGCCAAGTATGTTTGCTTGTGTATAACCACAGATCGCACGCATTCCAGCCCTGCAGACCTTGACGAAGCATACCTGACAGGTCTCATCCTGAAGAGAATCCTGGTGGTTCAGGCAAAAAGGACACTCAACGTAGCTACCCGCAAAAGAAAAAAGTTTGGAAAAACCCACATGACGCCACATGGAAAACTTGCACTTAGGTTCACTGGGAAGCTGATGCGTGGAGCACAGAGTTTCCACTCTCAGGGTTCAAGAGCACCACACCAGTTAATAACGGACAAGGTATTCAACGTCTCTAAACTTCTATTTCTTCCTTTTTTTTTTTTTTTTTTGACAGGCAGAGTGGACAGTGAGAGAGAGAGACAGAGAGAAAGGTCTTCCTTTGCCGTTGGTTCACCCTCCAATGGCCACTGTGGCCAGCGCGCTGCAGCCGGCGCACCGCGCTGATCCGATGGCAGGAGCCAGGAGCCAGGTGCTTCTCCTGGTCTCCCATGGGGTGCAGGGCCCAAGCACCTGGGCCATCCTCCACTGCATTCCCAGGTGCATGAGCAGGAAGCTGGATCAGAAGTATATGAGCTGAGACTTGAACCAGCACCCATATGGGATGCCAGCATTGCAGGTGGTGGCTTTATCTGTTATGCCACAGCGCTGTCCCCATCAGCACTTATTGAGTAAGTATTCTGTGTAGAACCCTGGGAGCCAGGAACTCAGTCCAATAGCAGAAACCCAATCATCTGTGTTCCCTCATTGAATGTTCTGGATACCTTTGTTGGAAATCAACTGACCATTTGATGTAGAGGTTTTTTGTTTTTTTTTTTTTGTTTTTTTTTTTTTTTGTATTTATTTATTTGAAAGTCAGAGTTACACAGAGAGAGAAGGAGAGGCAGAGAGAGAGAAGTCTTCCAACTGCTGGTTCACTCCTCAATTGGCCACAACAGCTGGAGCTGCGCCGATCTGAAGCCAGGAGCCAGGAGCTTTCTGGGTCTCCCGTGCAGGTGCAGGGGCCCAAGGACTTGGGCCATCTTCTACTGCTTTCCCAGGCCACAGCAGAGAGCTGGATCGGAAGAGAGGCAACTGGGACTAGAACCGGCATTCAAATGGGATGCAGGCACCACAGGCCAAGGATTAACCTACTTATTTATCTCTTTTCATTTTATATGAAAGAGAGGGGAAGGGAGGGAGGGAGAGAGAGAGAGCGTGCTTCTATTTTCTAGTTTACTCCTCAAATGCCCAGAACAGCTAGAACTGGGCCAGGCCAAAACCAAGAGCTTGGAGCTCAATCCAGGTCTCCCACATGGGTGGCAGGGACCCAAGTACCCGAGTCATCATCTGCTGCCTCCCAGGATGTGCATTGGCAGGAAATGGGATCCAAAGCAGAGGAGCAGGAACTCAAATTTGGCGCTCCTGTATGGGATGCGGGCATCCCTGGTGACATTAACCACTGTGCAAAGTGTTGCCCCTGCATTTTTGGACTGTCAATTCTATCTCACTGATCCATATGCCTATCTTTATGCCAGCATCACACTTTCTTGATTATTGTAGCTCTATTGTAAGTTTTGAAATCAGGAAGTATGAGTCTTCCAACTTTATTTTTCTTTTTGAATACTGTTTTGACTATTCAGAGCCTTTTGCACTTCCATATGAGTTTGAAGATCAGATTGTGCATTTCTGCAACAAGGGCAGCTCATATTTTTGTGCATTAAATCTGTGGCTCAATTTGGAGAGTGCTGCTGTCTCTATATTAAGTCCTCCAATCCATGAACATGGGGTATCTTTCCATTTATTTAGGTCTTCCTTCATTTCTTTCAGCAATATTTTATATTTTCAAAACATAAACCTTCCATTTATTTGGTTAAATTTTTTCTCTTTGATGCTATCGTAAATAGAAATGTCTTATTCTTTCTTTTTTTAAACATATATTTATTTATTTGGAAGGCAGTTACAGAGATGCTGAGCTGGAGGCAGAGGTAGAGAGAGAGAGCTCTTCTATCTTCTATCTGCTGGTTCACTCCCCAGCTGGCCACAACGGCTGGAGCTGGGCTGATCTGTAGCCAGGAGCCAGAAGCTTCTTCTGGGTCTCCCATGCGGGTGCAGCAGCCCAAGGATTTGGGCCATCTTCTACTGCTTTCCCAGGCCACAGCAGAGAGCTGGGTCAGAAGAGGGGCAGCTGGGACTAGAACTGGCACCCATAGGGGATGCTGACACTGCTACGCCACAGCGCCAGCCCCTGGAAATGTGTTCTTGATAACATTTCCAGATGTGCATTGCTAATATATATGGAAATGCAACTGTCTTTTGTGTGTTGATCTTATATTCTGCAACCTTGCTGGACTGATTTTTAGTTCTGATAGCTTTTTGTATATTCTTTGGGGTTTCTATTTATCAGATCTTGGAATTTGAAAAAAAATAGTTTCATTTTTTTCTTTTTCCGTCTGAATGCCTTTTATTTCCTTTTCTTACTTAATGGCCCTGGTGAGAACTTTCAGTACAATGTTAAAAACAAGTGGTGGGGTCAGTGCTGTAGCATAGCCGGTAAAGCTGCTGCCTGCAGTGCTAGCATCCCATATGGGCACCGGTTCCAGTCCCGGCTGCTCCACTTCTGATTCCAGCTCTCTGCTGTGGCCTGGGAAAGCAGTAGAAGATGCCCCAAGTCCTTGGGTCCCTGCACCCACGTGGGAGACCTGGAAGAAGCTCCATGCTCCTGGCTTCAGTTTGGCATAGCTCTGGCCGTTGCGGCCATCTGGGGAGTGAACCAGTGGATGGAAGACACCTCTCTCTCTCTCTGCCTCTGCCTCTGCCTCTGCCTCTCTGTAACTCTGCCTTTCAAATAAATAAATCTTAAAAACAACAACAACAACAACAAATGGTGAGAGGCCGAGGCCTGCATTGTGGTGTAGTGGGTAAAACCACTGCCTGTGATGCCGACATCCCCTGTAGATGCCTGTTCATGTCCCTGTGTCCCTGCCGTTTCACTTCTAATTCAGCTCCATGCTAATGGTATGGGAAAGGCTGTGGAAGATGGCCCTGGCACTCATGTGGGAGACCCAGATAAAGTGCATGGCTCTGGCTTTGGCCTGGCCCAGCCCTGGCCTTTGCAGCTATCTGGGGAGTGAGTAAGCAGATGAAAGATTTCTCTGTCTCTCCCTCTCTCTCTGTAACGCTATAAAATAAATAAATAAATAAATCTTTTTAAAAAAATGGTGAGAGTAGGTGTCCTTATCTTATTTCTGACTTTAGGGGATGGGAATTTTCGGTCTGTTGCCTCTGAGTTTGATGTTATTTGCAGGTTTTTCCATAGATGCCCTTCATCAGGTTGAGCAATTCTCTCCCATTCCTAGTTCATGGAGTTTTCTTTCTCCTCCCCCCGCCCCCACCTCTTTCTTTCTCAGGAAATGATGTTGGATATACCTAATTGTTTTCCAGAACTAAAACCCAGCAAAGTCCTCTGTATTTAACTTGAAAGAACTATGTAAGACCAAGTTTCATGATAATTAAGATTTTACTAATTCAACATTGCTTGATGACATTAAAAAAGACTTATTTATTTATTTGAAAGAGTTACAGAGAGAGGAAGACCATATGGGATGCCAGCATTGCAGGTGGCAGGTTTACCTGCTGTGCCACAGCGCTGGCCCCAATGACCACTATCCTGACTCTCAGGATGGTAGCTTAGTTTTGTTTGTTTTTGCATTTTGTGTGTATGGAATCATAAAGGCTTTTATGTCTGGTTTCTTTCATGCAGCATGATATCTGTGAGTCATCCAACCTATTATGTGGACTGATGACTCATTCCTTTCCACACACTGTTTAGTGAGCTGATACCAGCTTGTCAAGGTTGAAAAGGCTGTGCCTTTTCTCAAGGAACTGGAAAAATGAAAGCCAAGGAGAGCCCAGGGCTCTCCAGTATTGAGCCAGTCCACTCTGCGAGTCTCTATCAAGCTGTTGAGTCTTCAGCTAGCATGGCAGCTACCTTGCTCACTTCACATCCCACACCCTAGACAGACATGAACTACGTTTGGCTCCCCCCACCATGGTTTTCTTTTCTTTTTCTTTTTCTTATTTTTTTTTAACAAGGAGTCCTGATGCAGCCTCAAAATTCTCCTCAGCCCTACAGTCCAGGTAGCCAACACCAAAGTGAGTTTTCATCAAATCCCCAAGATGTTTTTCAGGGCTCCCAGAGTGATGACATGAGAGGGTCTAGTATTTTCCAGTTTGCCCCATAACAGTATGAGACTGGCAGTGATGAGATCTATACCATCTACCTGTTCATGTGATCTTTGGGTACCAGAACACATGAACCCAGCAAGTATATTGCTACCTTGCACCTGGGTACAACATGACTTAATAAGAGGGAGCACCTTGCTTAGAAGTGGAGAGGTTGCTGTATCCAGGAGGTGGCTTGATCGAAGGATCCTTATTTTTATTTCATGCTTTGATAAAAACACTGCAGTGTTTCAATTACAGAACACACACAAGGGACTTAGGTTTCCCAGCTCATCCTTCTCTGAGTTCTTGACGCTTCTAGCACCTCTCTCACATTTGAACTTTTTCTTGAAACTTGGAAAGTTGGATGAAATGAACTCTACCGTCCTCTGGGAATGGTTACCTGCACATACAGGCTGGGGTTTTGGTGAATTAAAACAACAGTAACAAAAACAACAGCATCCAAGGCATGAATTTTGTCCACTTGTAGATGAGATTCTTGTATGTAAAATAATAGAGGAAAAGTCCAAGTGAGCTCCTGTTTATGTGAAACTCTGTTCTTGGGCAATTTTACATATTTTAAGGGAAGGATCATAAAAGGCTCCTGAGAAGTCTTACATTTCTTCAGTGGAGATCACCTGAGATACTCATTTAGAACTGGCTTCCGTGTTGTGGCACAGTGCAGTAAGCAGCCACCTGCAGAGCTGGAATCCCATATGAATGAGTCCTGGCTGCTCCACTTCCAATCCAGCTCCCTGTCAGCGTGCCTGGGAAATCAGCAGAAGATGGCCCCTGTACTCACATAGGAGAGACTCAGTTGGACTGCCAGGCTCCTGGCTTCAGCCTGTTCCAGCCCTTGTCATTGTGGCCATTTGGGGAGTGAAGCAGCGGATAGAAGGTTCATTCTCTCTCACTCTCTCTGTCTCTCTCTCCCTCTCTCCCTCCCTTCCTCCTTCCCTCTCTCCCTCTCCCTGTCTTTGTAACTCAGCCTCTCAAAGAAATAAATAAATCTTAAAAAAAAAATGCAAAAGATTGGAAGCAGCAAATGAGAATGGTGGACTTGGGGGAAGTACGGGCTACTAGGTGTAGTCTTACTACAGCTAGTATAGTTAATGGATGAAGTGATTTTTTTTTTTTTTTATTTGAGGTAGAGTTACAGACAGTGAGAGAGAAAGAGACAGAGAGAAAGGTCTTCCTTGCATTGGTTCACTCCCCAAATGGCCACTAAGGCTGGCGCGCTGCGCGGTTCTGAAGCCAGGAACCAGGTGCCCCCTCCTGGTCTCCCATGTGAGTGCAGGGGCCCAAGCACTTGGGCCATCCTCCAGTGCCCTTCCGGGCCACAGCAAAGAGCTGGACTGGAAGAGGAGCAGCCAGGACCAGAACCCGGCGCCCATATGGGATGCCGGCGCCGCCGCAGGCGGAGAATTAACCGAGTGAGCCACGGCGCCGGCCCCATTATGAAGTGATTTTTGACAGCAGAGACAAGGGAAAACAAGGAAATGTAGCTCACACCAGCAGGGGCTATCTGCTGCAGGGACAAAAAACTCTCTTTAACACTTCCTTTGAGAACGCTGTGGTCCCCCCAACACAATTATTACTACCCTAATGATGGTGCAGAATAGCTGGGAATAAAACAGTTTTGCGCACCTGCCGTGTGCCAGGTGATGCTGAGTAAGCACTTTCCCTTCCCTATCTCATGCAAGCTTCGCGATGGCCCCGTTGTCAGCCAGTTGCTGGAAGGGAGGGCAGAGTAGGGGAAGTTACTTGCTCACAAAAGTAGTCAAGGCAGATTCTGAACCTTTGCAGTCTTAAGTCCGGTGCCAATGGAATTAGCCCCTAATCAGCTTCAAAGATGCTCCTGGGTGAATAAAGAGTGGAAAGGCACTCCACGCGGAGGGGACAGCATTTGCAAAGATAGGGCCTGTAAGTTAAGCTAGTGGATCACTCAGTTTCTCTTGAGTTTTGGTTTACTCACCTCTAAAACAGGGACAGTAGTATTTGTCCGGCTGCTCAGTGAACTCAGTGGGCTGATGCGTGTAAAGCACTCTTCACCATGCCTGGATCACAGACTGTCCACAGTGTTAATTAGTATCATTATTTTTTGCTATTTCTCTTCTAGTTTGCCCACCTCTACAGAGCAGGGGTCCAAGGAGACTACACTTCCCAGCCTGCCACCTCGCCCTCTGACCCCAGCGAGACCAAAAAGACGCGCCGCCAAGCGCCCCAAGCCGGAAGACTATAGTCTCCCGGCATGCAGCGCGCCCCCTTCCATTAGAATTGAGGCGCGACCGGCGCGTCGCCCGCTGGGAGTTGTAGTCAGCGGCGCGTTGCCCTGACGCCGGCCTGGCCGGGCGTGGGGGCCTGTGGGAGGTGGTGCGGCTGGGCCCAGCTGCGGGGCGGAGGCGGAGGCGAGGCCTGCGGCGGCAGGAGCGGCCGGGGCCGGGAGCGGGCGCCGGATCTGAGCCGAGCCGGAGCGGGCGGCGAAGGCCGGCGCGGCGAGCAGCAACCATGTCGGTGTTTGGGAAACTGTTCGGGGCTGGAGGGGGTAAGGCCGGCAAGGGCGGCCCGACCCCCCAGGAGGCCATCCAGCGGCTGCGGGACACGGAGGAGATGCTAAGCAAGAAGCAGGAGTTCCTGGAGAAGAAAATCGAGCAGGAGCTGACGGCTGCCAAGAAGCACGGCACCAAAAACAAGCGCGGTGAGGCCGCCCTGCCCTTCCAGACCCCCCAGAGGCTCTCCTCGGACTCCCAGGGCCGGACTTCACTTTGGTCCCACTCGCCTCGGGGTCTGCGCGGACCCTGGAGCCCTCCCCTGTCTGACCCCCTCCCCAGCTGTCTCCCGGGGCCCCAGACTCCGAAGACCGCCGGTCTCTCCCTGTCCCCCTCTCCCAGCATCCTCCCCTCACTCTGCCAGGCCCCTGCACACCCTGGGCTCGCAGCGGTCTCCTCCGCCCTCACTCTTTTCCTTTCTCTTCCGCCTTTTCCTCTTGCCTGTGGCCTCACCCTCCTTCCCAGCCGCGGCCACGGCCGCCGTCTGTCTTGTTTCTGCCTCCCAGCCTCCTGGTCCCACCCCGTCCTCCCCGACCCCTCCGTGGAGTCCTGTGAGCTGCCCCTGGCCTCTCCCGACTTCCTCGATGGGGAGAGGAGAGCCCCCTGGCTCCCGCGCCGAGGGACCTTGAGCAAGTTAGTTTCCCCCACCGATCAGCCAGGATTCGGCCTCCATGAGGCCCGAGGTGTCTCGGCTCTGATTCGCTTCTTGTTGCCTCATGTCCTGGTCTTCGGAGAGTTTCCCGTGGCGCAAGCCTTCACCTGGTGACTCACCGCTTCCCCAACCCTCCCAGCCCGAATCGCGGGCTCCATGCCTCCGTGGGCTGGACTCCTCCCCTGGCTCTGCTGCTGGGTCAGGGTCACGGTGCTGAACGTCGAGGCACGCTTACTTCGCTTGCTGTGGGCTTTCTGGGCAAGTGAGATGACCGTGAAAATGCTTCGACAACTGCATAGGGCAACACTTTAGGAATGTTTGGTTTTTCTTGTTGCAGCTGGTGAATCAGAGTGACAGCTCTGTCCCCTGAGAGGGGGGCAAAGGTGACAGGGATTTAGGAGTCACACAAATCAGTGATTGACTCAGAAGTGTGCTGGTGACTAGCTGTGTGACCTTGAGCTAGTTACTTTACCCTTCTGGAAGGAAGAACTTGGATTTACAGGTTCCGGCACACAGTAGGGGTTGCATGGATGCTGTCTTCAAACTAGTCTAGCCTGAGGATGCCCCTCTGGGAATTCTCTGAAAGCCAGATGCATGCAGTGTGTTCAGAGGGGGTGAGCGAAAGAGCACTTCCACCCTAAGGGGGTAGAAGTCAGAAACAGGGAAATAAAAGAAGATCTTGACTAGTGGTTATGCATTCTAAACAAGAAGGAAGTTGAGCTGCTAGGGAGTGGTGGGCAGGGAGGAGGTGCCACCTCAGATAGAGTGGTCAGGGATGCAGCTTTGGAAGGCTGAAGTTCGGACTGAGCCTTGAGAGGGAACCAACTCTGGGAAAATCTGGGGCAGGGGTCTTCCAGGCAGGGAGACCAGCAGGGGGAGAGCCCCAGAGGGCAGCCGGTTTTAAGGAACAGAAAGAAGATGCCAGTGTGTGGAATGTAGTGATTAAAGAAGAGTGGTATGAAATGAGGGAGGTGGGGGTGGACCTTGAACTTCCTGGTAGAGTTTGGATTTTATTCCAGGTGGATGGAAGGCTGTTGGAAGGTTATGTGCTAGAATGTGTCCTAATCGTTGAGTTTTAAAAACATCATCTGGCTGCTCTTTGGAGAGTGGGAGGGGGTGAAGGTGGGAGCAGGGAGACCAGTAACGAGGCTGCATCCTCATCTGTTAGTGGCCTGGCCTCCAGCTGTAGCTCTGGAGATGGAGAGCAGGGTTGTTTTGCTGTCCCTGGCTATTTTTCTCTGACGGACTGTCTCAAGGAGGATCGTCTTCACCAACGGTAATTAGAGCTGCTTTGACCAGTCTGCATTTTGGCGCGTTCTCTTTGGCAGTGGAGGAGGGTGGCAGTTTACCTCCTTGTCTATCAGGAGGCCAACTCTGGTCTCTTGGGCTGGAGCCAGCTTAGTTTCTGCAGTTTGGGAGGTGATTGAATTGGCTTTCAGGAGACTCGGAGGCTGCTGGCAGATAGTGGCGGAGCAGGCTCAGTTGTGATAACTTGGCTGCAAGCAGCCTGTCTTGAGTTTGCTTGAGTGGGCAGGAGCTACTAGAACCTGTCCTTTAAAAAAAATTTTTTTTTTAAATTTGTATTATTTATTTGAAAGGCAGAGAGAGGCAGAGGTTGAGACCAACAGAGATCTCTTATCCTCTGGGTCACTCCCTAAATGCTGGGATCAGGCAAAGCTGAAGCTAGGAGCTGGAAATTAATCCAGATCTCCCACATGGGTGGCAGGGACCCGGTACTTGAGCCATCACCTGCTGGCTGCCAGGGTGCACACTAGCAGGAAGGTGGAGCCAGAACTTGAACTCAGGCACTCCAGGGTGCGACACCGGCATCCCAAGCAGAGTCTTCACTGCTGTGCTCAACGCCTGGCCCCTGCGTTTCTTTTTGCGTGCTCTGGGAGACAGGTCTTACCTGCCTACTGCAACAGTGCTGTGAGGTTACTGCTACCACATACCATTCTTTTAGTCTTCCTGTTGACTCACCACTGTGCCGAGACCCTGAGAATCAGACATAAAAATGTACTATGCCTGTCCTCCAGGAACTTGGGATTGGAAGCATGGGATGTGTGGTGGAGGGGTGGGAGGGGGGAAAATCCTCACAGTCAGTGCTGACACCTGAGGGCGTGCGTGGGCCCAGGCTGAGGCCTGAGTGTGTAGTGGGAGGTTTCTGTGTAGAGGGTCAAGGTAAAGGAGACTGATGAGGAAGGAGAATGGGAAGTGAGCAAGGACTTTGGTGTGTTGGGGAGCAGTGAGAATGTCTCCTAGTTGGAGTCTGTGGAGCAGGACAGGAGATAGATAACACTGGAAGGTGGCCTTTTAACCTTTGGACCTTGACCTGGAGATGGTGAGGAGCCAATGACTGTCTTAAAGCAGAGTCACGGGGCTGGCATTGTGGCACAGTAGGTTAAGCCGCGGCCTGCAATGCTGGCGTCCCTTGTGGGCACAGTCCCTGCTAATGCACCTGGGAAAGCAGCAGAAGATGAACCAAGTACTTGCACCCATCGGGGAGACCCAGATGAAACTCCTGGCTTCGGTCTGGCCTAGCCCCGGCTGTTGTGGCTGTTCGGGGAGTGAGCCAGCGGATAGAAGACCTCTCTGTAACTTTGCCTTTCAAATAGATAAATGAATCTTTTTAAAATAAAAGCAGTCGTATCTCCTTGAGGTTTTTGAAAGAGCATTTCAACAAAAATGAATACAATTTTCTCCCCATTTATTTGAAAGGCAGAAAGAGATAGTGATTGATCTTTCATCTGCTGGTTCAGTGCTCACATGCCTGGAACATTCAGGGCTGCGTCATGCTGAAGCTAGGAATCTGGAATTCAGTATGGATCTGCTGTGAGGGTGGCAGGGACCCAAGTGCTTGAGCCATCACCTGCTGCCTTCTGGGGTGCACATCAGCAGCAAGCTGGATCGGAAGCAGACAGGACTTGAACCAGGCGCTCTGATGATGGGATGTGGGTATGCCAAGTGGCATCTTAACCACTGTGCCATGTGTACATCCAAAGGGTTGAACACAGCAGTCTGGTAAGGGATAAGGCTATTATCTCATAGAGCTGGGTTTGAACTGTGACTACATTACTTACGAGCTGTGTGTGTGGGTCATGTTATCATGCTACTCTGGGCCTCAGATCCTCTTTTGTTTGTTTTAAAGATTTTATTTATTTGAGAGGTAGAGTTACAGACAGTGAGAGGGAGAGACAGGGAGAAAGGTCTTCCATCCACTGGTTCACTCTCCAAATTGCCGCAATGGCCAGAGTTGGGCAGATCTGAAGCCAAGAGCCAAGAGCTTCTTTCAGGTCTCCCACACGGATGCAGGGGCCCAAGCACTTGGTCTTCTTCTGCTGCTTTCCCAAGCCATAGCAGAGAGCTGGATCAGAAGTGGAGCAGCCAGGACTAGAACTGGCACCCATATGGGATGCCGGTGTTGCAGGTGGAGGATTAACCTACTGTGCCACAGTGCCAGCCCCTCAGATTCCTCCTTTACAAATGAGGTACTCATATCTCCTTTATAGGATTACAGTACATTATACATGCTAAGCTCTTAGCACAGGATCAGCAATATGATAAGTGATTGATAAATGCTTGCCATTGTCGTTACAAGGAAACTTCAGGTGGGAACTAAGGGCTTAGAGTAGAAACATGGAGAATGGAACAGAAATAATACATGCCAGAGACGTTCAGAAGGAGAAGCAAAAGACATGGTGATTTATTGCAGTTGTGGGAGTGGGTAGGGTGAATGAGAGAGAGTTGAGGATGATTCTCAAGTTTATAGCCTGGGAGACTGAGCTGCCGGTAATGCCATTAACCAGGTTGAGAAACAGAGGAGAAATAATACTTCCTAACCGTGTCGTCCTGAAGTTTGTAAAACTCCCTTTTCTGTTTGTCTCACAGAATCCGCTGGGAGCTCCATGAGGCAAGATGGTGGTGTGTTCACTGCTGAGTCTCCAGCACCTAGTGTAGTACAGGGCACATGGCTAATGCTCAGCAACTATTTATTGAATGAATAAAAATAATTTTGTAGATACATTCTGTTATTCCCATTTTACAAAGAGGAAAATGAGGATCAAGAGGGATATAGCTCAATTCAGAGACCAGTTCTTCTGGTAGCTGTGGGCACTTTGTGCTCTGTTTACTCCCATAATGGCCAAAGGCGTCATCATGACCTTTGTCATCACTGAGCTCATTAAACGCCTACCTGTGCAAGGTGTGGTACTGAGTGGGGGAAAAAAGGAAGTGAGACAGGACCAGGCTCTGTGGATGCTATCTTTACAGCACAGCGCATTGGAAAGATGATAAATTGCCCTTTGAAACAAACCTCGGAACCTTAAGTTAGATGATTTACGGTGTGTAGGTGTGTCCAGACAGTGGTTTCAGTTAGGGGCATAGAGCAAAATTTTCTTTTTTTTGTTTTGTTTTGTTTTTGACAGGCAGAGTTAGACAGTGAGAGAGAGAGAGAAAGGTCTTCCTTTTCCATTGGTTCACTCCCCAATGGCTGCTGTGGCCAGCGCACTGCGCTGATCTGAAGCCGGGAGCCAGGTGCTTCCTCCTGCTCTCCCAAGCGGGTGCAGGGCCCAAGCACTTGGGCCATCCTCCACTGCACTCCCTGGCCACAGCAGAGAGCTGGACTGGAAGAGGGGCAACCGGGACAGAATCCGGCGCCCCGACCAGGACTAGAACCCGGGGTGCTGGCGCCACAGGCGGAGGATTAGCCTGTTGAGCCGCGGTGTTGGCCGAGCAAAATTTTCATTGCATATTTTTTCCAAATGTATTTTCCTTCTCTTTTTTCATGTATTCATTCCTCATAGATGTGTCATGCTCTACTGTGTGCTAGGCCCCATGCTCAGTGTTGAGAACACAAAGATGAACCAGCCGTGGTCTCTTCCCTCCAAGGGACTTAAATATCACCCATTGTGAAATAATATTCCTCTCACATGCCTATGGCGAGGGTTAGCTAAGATAATATAATAGAGTGTCGCACATTGTGGATATTGAATATTATCCTTTTTTTCTTTTCTGATAAAGTTATTGTTGATCAGGTTTCTTTGGTTTAATTGTCAAGCTGGCTGAGAACCAGGGCTGCATTCTCCGTGAACTGACAAGAATCATCCTGAGGTCTTTTTTGGTACCTTTACAAACAGTGGTTTTCTCCCTAAGGAAATCAAATATCAAAGATTTAAAAAAAAAAAAAGATTTTATTTCTATAAAAGGTAGAGTGACAGAAGGAAAGAGAGGGAGAGAGAGAAAAAGATCTTCCAGCTGGTGCCGTGGTTCACT